CTCTATTTACCTCCTCTTGTCTCTTTGCTGTCGGTCGCTTTATCGCTCAGCCTTTCGCCCCGGCTGACTCCTTTTTGAACTTTTCGCCTCTTTCACCGACCTCGAGGAGTCCCGTTATCGGCGGCTTCGTAGCACAGCGATGATGATGGCGCAACCGTTTCCCGCCCCTCAAGGCATCCCGCAGCATCATACTTTACCGCCAGGTCATCCAATGGCTCCTGGTCAACATCCCAATGCTCACCCCGGGGCCGGAATGGTGCAGGCGGTGCACCCAGGTGTGTCGGCTCCCGGAGGGCCTCAGGTCAGCCAAGGTGGACCTATGATGGCAGGCATGCCCCCAGGTGCTGGAACAACGGGGCCTGGAGGGCCAGTGCAGGCTCATGCTCTCTCCCATCTGGGTCCGGCACAGGCACACATGTTTCAGCAGCCTCATTTTGCCCAACAATGTAGGTTCCTTCCGGGTCGCTCGGCGGCTTCGTGAATCGTGCTTTGACTGGACAGTACTGCATCTCACTGGCCAATAATGACGGTTCTTTGCTAACTCACTCTACCCGGAGCTAGTTGCCGGTAACCCACAACTTATGCACCCGCAGCAACAACAGGCGATGATGAGGCAACGTCTGATTCTCCAGCAACAACAGCAACAGCAGCAGCATCAGCAGCAACATGGTGGACTTCCGGTATCATTACCCAACGGCAATCCTGCCGGCCTAACTGCCGCTCATGTCGCCGCCATGCAAGCGAATCAAGGAATGCGACCCGTGAATATGCAGATGCAGATGCAGCAAATGCCCCACGGACAAGCGCAGAATATTCAACAGCAGCAGCAGCATCTCTTCGCCATCCAAGCGGCCCAAGCGCAACAAGCCCAGCATGTACAACAGGCTCAACACGCGCAGCAGGCACAACAGGCTCAGCAGGCTCAGGCCCAGCAAGCGCATCAAGCCCAGCAAGTCCAGCAGGCGGCCACCCCGGTTCAACCTGGCCAGCAGACTCCGCAGCAACGGGCAGCCGCGCAACCGCAGAGCGTGCACGATGCACAAAGCGCAACGCCGCAACCCCAACCTGGCCCCCCACCACATCAGGGGAGCGCGACTCCGCAGCCGAATCCGTCGCAGATACCCACCACCCAGCCCCCGCAGCCCCCGCAGCAGCAGCCTCCCGCTCCGCAGCCGCAGCCCACCCCTAATCCGCCTCCGCAACAACTGCCACAGTCGCAGCAGCCTGGTCCTCAACAGCAACCGCCGCAGCAGCAGCCGCAGCCGCAACCACCACAAAGTCAGCAGGGGCCTGTACAGGGACAACAACAACCTCCCATGATGTCCCAGGAGGCACAGCTGAAGGCAGCGCAGCAGCAGCAGCAGCAGCAGCAGCAGAATCCAGCCACGATGATGATGCAACAGCAACCACGAATACCAATGAAAGGGGCCGCAATTCTCCACCTGAATAGCTTCGCAGAACACCTGAGCAGCTTCCAAGTATGTGTCCACATCACCCTCGCGCCCTAGGAGGAGCAATGCTAACATGTTACAGAGCCGCGGTGAGGCACACGATCTCGCCTACTGGCAACAATTCGTGGGCCGGTTTTACGCTCCTGGAGGCGTCTTACGTCAGGGCGTCTACAACCATCAGACGGGTTCGAAGCAATTCGAGATTGGCACGGTTGCACTGCCTCGCTACTACTATACCCAATTCACGAGCGGTATCCGCCATATCCAGATGGTTGTGGAGGGGGCTCGGGAGCGGGACTTGCCGAACGGAGGTCACGTTGTGGAGAGCCCCAGGACTTCCTTCATTTACTGGTTCACCAACGATACTCAGGTCGGCACTTCTATCACTGGATTTAAACTGTAATCTACTGACAGCGAATCTAGCTCTTTGCCAACGGAACGATGACGGCACATTTTGACATGAACAACAAGATCGAGATGCTAGATATCGTTATGTTGAATCATACTGAGTATCTGCCTCGCAGCCAGCTACAGGCCCTAGAACAAGCAGCAGCAGAACTGCCAAAGCAGAGTCCCAAGGTTACCAAGAATGCGGGCAAGCGTGGCCAGCAGAAGCAGCCGCCACCGCCCGCGGCCACCTTGCCCGAATCAATGGTGACTCTGAACGGTGTACCGGGTGCTGTCATGCAATTCATGGAGGTGTGTTTCACCCCTCAACATCCCCCAGGCTATACTGATATATTTCATGATGTAGGTCTCGGAGACGATCGCATCTATGCAATTCTTGATGCAGTTCTCCCAGCAAAACCCTCAATTGACACCGTGGGAATCGTTGCGCAACCTGGTGAATTCGATGCAGAACCAAGTTCCTAATCCTGCCTTCATGCCTCTCCAAATGAACCCGGCCATGCAACAAGGTCAGCCCCGCGCTCCTAGCATGAGCGGTCCGAACCAATTCGCCTCCCCAGCCATGGCTCATCTGGGTCTGCCCCCTGCTCAAGGGTCTCCCCATCTGAGTGTTTCTGGTCATCCCAGCCCTGCACCAACCCACCTGGCCGGACCTCCGATGCAGCAGGTCCATATGCAGGGCAATGGTCCGCAAGTGACCAGTGCAAGTGCCAGTCCCAACGTGGGAACCAAGCGGCGTCGGGCCAGCACGGTGAAGGTGGAAAATGATGATAATGGACCGGATTTGAACGGGGCGCCGGGACCTGTGCCAGCCAAGGTGAAGGCCAGTCCACGCGTGGGCGCGAAGAAGCAAAAGGGGGGCGCTTAATCTTAGAGTAATTGTGGTTTGGGTTACTTTTCGTCGCTTGTCATCTCATATCATTGCAGTCTCACCCGGCGGGAATCGGCGTACCTTGAGGATACTGTGCGAGGCTTCTCTTTCTCCGATGCTTTTCTTCTCATCTGCCGGTGTCTTCATTTTTTGTCTCCTTGGCTGCCATTGAACATACGTGCTGGGTTTGGGTGCTATATGCTATTGTTTCTGCGGGGCTGGGTCGATATGGTTCAGGTTTCAATTGCAATTAGAAAGTCAACAGGCTTGATTGACACGGCGTCTTTTGAGTCGGTTGTGCCTGTGATTGATCCAGACGACCTTGCATCTAGACCCGATCAAGGTCCGGGCAGTTTTTCTTTTTTTCTCCCTTTTCTTTTTTTTTTTTTTGCTCTATTTTATTCTCCTTCCATCTCTCACAGCGTTCTGTGGGGGTTGACGTGTGTATGAACGTCGTTGCAGTGAATGTTGTGCTTGTGGAGCTGCTTTATTTGATATCCACCTTACCTGGGCGATTGACGTGATCTTGCTTTTTCCTCTGTCTCTCTCTCTTATTGTCTCTTACTTCTTGTTATGTTCCAGGCGTTTGGGATATTTTCGGAAGATAATGTGTTGATAGTTGCGTTGCTGCATTGTTGTGTAAGAGAGCATCTCAATTTCAACTTCAATTTCAATTCCAATCTCCAATACAAGTCAAGTTAGCCGTCGGATCTGGGCGCCAATCGGGGCAGGGCATCGGCAGTCGCCGTGCAGCCCCTCCACCGCCCCGCCATTAGTACTTACTCAGTAGATCTACTAATAGTAACTCACCTACCTCCGCCAACCTGAACTCGCTATCTTTTTATCTTCTCTCGTCTTTTTCTTTTCTGCACTTTCCATCGTCTTCGCTCCGGGATTGTCTCAACCCACCACAACCACACATCATGTCTCACTCTCACTCCCACGACACTGGCGTCAGCCACTCCCACGACGATGTCGCCGGCGGCCACGGCCACTCGCACGAGATCCTCGATGGACCAGGATCCTACATCAACCGGGAGATGCCATTGTCGGAGTCCCGGGACTGGAAAGACCGTGCCTTCACCATTGGAATTGGCGGGTAGGTCTATCTCCCCTGCGAACTCGTACGATCAAACCAATTCATGGGATTTTCTCTCAAATCTAGACCCGTCGGATCCGGCAAGACCGCCCTGATGCTGGCGCTCTGCCATGCCCTGCGAGACGAATACAACATTGCGGCTGTGACCAACGACATCTTCACGAGGTAGGTTGTGTTGCGTACTTCCCCTTCCCTTAGTCCCCCCCCCCACAAACCACCCCAAATCTCTGTTAACACAACCCGGCCACAAAACAGAGAAGACGCCGAATTCCTCACCCGCCACAAGGCCCTGGCGCCCAACCGCATCCGCGCCATCGAGACGGGCGGCTGCCCGCACGCCGCCGTCCGCGAGGACATCAGCGCCAACCTGCTGGCCCTACAGTCGCTGCACAAGCAGTTCCAGACCGATCTGCTGCTGATCGAGTCCGGCGGCGACAACCTGGCGGCCAACTACTCGCGCGAGCTGGCCGATTTCATTATCTACGTGATTGACGTCGCCGGCGGCGACAAGGTGCCCCGCAAGGGCGGGCCGGGCATCACGGGCAGTGACTTGTTGGTGGTCAACAAGTGCGATCTGGCGGCGATCGTGGGCGCCGATCTCGGGGTCATGGAGCGGGATGCTGCCCGCATGCGGGAGGGCGGGCCTACGGTCTTTGCCGAGGTGAAGAATGGGAAGGGGATGGAGCATATTGTGGGCTTGATTTTGAGTGCGTGGAAGGGGTGTGGGGCTTATGAGGAGTGTGTGAGGAGGTGGAAGGCGGGGGGCCAGAGGGGGTCGGGGAGTGTTGATGCTTAAACTTTATCTCTCGTGTTTCTTTTTGGAGATATGAGGTTGGGATTGTTGAGGAGGGGGGGAGTGGAGGTGGACTTTGGGTAGGTTGGGGCAATGTTGCCCGTTGATGTATATGATGATGATCGTTTATTTGCACATTTCTATAGGATATATATTCAGGGACTAAAAACTTTTTCTTTTCTTGCTTCTCACCCGCTAAAAACCTCAACGCCGGGAATATGCAGCCATTAAAAAAAGAATACAACAGCGATGGAAGCCCGACGCTCCAACCACCAGGGTATCTGAGAGCTCAAAGTCGCAGGATGAACACCCCACCACAACCCCAAACAGAAATACATACACGAAACAGAGGAGCTAGAAAGTAGATATATGTTCTTTTCACATCTCCTTCTTCGCAAAGCGAGCCAGAGCAGGCCCCAACTCCTGTCGCTCGGCCCGCAGCTTGTCCTTGGCCCGCGCGGTGCGCTCCTTGTGCAGCAACTCCGCCTTGACCCGCTTCTCGTCGATGACGTTGCGGCGGCCCTTCTTTCGGAGGTACTTGCGCAGGGCACTGTTGCGGCCGCGGCCGCGGTTCTTGAGCTTCTCCATGGGGTCCTCGGGCTTGCGGTCGAGGTCGCGCTCCTCGCGGTTCTTCTGGTCGCGGATCGTGTCCAGCTTGCCGATGAAGCTGGGGTCGAGCGAGATCATGTCCGGCTGCAGCTTGTGGAGCAGGCCGCGCACCTCCGCCTCCTGGCGCTGCTTGGTGTTCTCGTAGGGGTTCGCCTCCAGGGCGTCGAAGTTGGGCTCGCCCGCGCCGGGGACGATGATGCTGGCGAAGCCCTGGTCGTGGCCCACGCCCAGCACATCCTCGAACGGGCACCAGCGCATGTTCTCGATCCGCTGCCCGTCGCCGCCCCACGCCATGTAGGGGCTCTGCACCTTGCCCTGGTCCGCCTGCGCCGCGTCGAACAGCCCGCGCCACACGCTGACCTGCGTGCCCCAGCCCACCGCCGTCAGGTTGCGGTCGCTGATCGCCACCGACGCCCCCGGCTGGTGGCACGAGTACGAGTGCACCTCCCGGAACATCCGGATGTCCCACACGTTCATCTTCTGGTCCTGGCCCGTCGACACCATGTACCGGCCCTGGCGGTCGATCGCCATCGAGCGCACCGGGCCGCGGTGCACGAGCGCCTTCACCAACGCGGTTTGCGAGTTCGGCGACCACAGCGTCACGCTGCCGTTCTGGTGGCCGACGTGCAGGATGGCGTTCCAGGGGTTCTGGGCGAGGGAGGTCGGCGCTCCCATGCGCGTGGGAAGCTCGGCCACCATTTGACCGGTCGAGGTGTCGGTGTATTTGAGGTAGCCGCTCATTTGCTAATGATTTTGAGATATTAGGCTAGGACATTGGATAAAAGCCTCGAAAGGTACTTACCGCGCTAGCGAGAAGGAAATGGTAGGGCAAGAATTCGAGGAAGAGCGGCTCGAGGTGCTTGTTCAGGCAGTGCAGCTCCACACCGGCGTGATCGTAGATGTAGACGGATCGCTTCTGCGCGACGGCGAAGTACTGGTTGTTGTGCAGCCACCGGGCATCCCGGACAGTCTCATTCAGCTGCAACTCGCAGCCCAGCTTGCCGTTCCGCCAGTCCATCGTCGCAACATGGCCCTTGCGGCCCGCCAGCAGCAGCTCGCGGCCGTTCCTCGTGTAGTCGCAGCGGTAGGGGCCCATGTCAGTCAACTTCAGCTCGAACCCCTTCTTGGCCGTTTCGATGCCCACGTTATCCCGGATATCGCTCTGACGGACCTTGTACGTCCGTTCCAACTCGCCCTCGGTCTCGATGAATCCGGCCTCGTGTTCCAGCAGGATCTCCGCATCCTTGGCCCGGAGCGCGGCCTCCTTGAACTTAGCTTCAACGGCCTTCAGGTTGCTGCGCAGCTTCTTGTCCCGGATGCTGTGGGTGTGAATGCCCTTGCCGCGGCCGTAGGTCTTTTGCGCTTCCATCACTCTTTTGCTTTCCTTGCGCTTGTTGGGGTTGGCGTTGGTGTTGGCCGTCGGCGCAATGGCCTTTGTCGGCGTGGATTCCGACATTGCGGGCGGTGGAAGATGAGCGCTGAGGATTCTATGAGATCCGGTGAAGAGAGGTCTGGGTGAGAAAATCCTCTAAGCTGTCGAAAGTTGACGTTGACTTGAGGACCAACAGTCACTTGCGTATCTGTAATAAAAATCCGAGCCGAACTTTTCTTTTTCTGCCGGTCGGTTCCCTCGCTTGTGTCTCCACCGCCTTATTTTTTTCTTTCCTCTTCCCCAGACCAAAGTCAACAATCGGGCCCGATTGGATTGAGTGTCAACCTCAGGCTCTTTTGGCTCTGTGCTTCTGGAAGACGGACTCTTCTGCAGGCTCACAAATATCTGCAAATCTCCCACGCTGGCCTCTCTTCCCTTCCGGTTCAAAGCGCCCAGCGGTGCCAACATGGCGCCCACTCAAGCGGTGCAACACCACCACCGCTCCACCACCAAATCCTCCAACAAGCCCTATAAGACTCGCCATGCCTCGAAGAGTGCTCTGAAAGATAAGGAGAAGGGTGCGTCTATCTCACTACATATCTATCGCTCTACCAAATCAAACTTCCCGGGCCGCTAAAATATCATCTATAGGCAAGGTTGAAAGGCCCGAGCGGGGCACCCGCAAAACCCCTCACCAACAGCTCATGTCGAAACTCGATCGGAGGAATCAGGCTCGCCAGAAACAGCAGCTGAAACAACAGGAGAAGGCTCAGTCGACCAGCATTTTCTCCGGCCAGAACGGCGCCCCCCGCCATGTTGCCGTTGTGCCGCTCTCCGTCGATATCGATGTCGCCGCCGTCATCCGGTCCCTCAACGAAAGCGTCGACGTTACCGCCGATGTCTCCGCCGATCAGATCTCTCGTGTGCGCGTCGAGCGATTCCGCCAGAGCCTGCAGTACATTCCGGCCAAGTACGACCTCATGAGCGCGCTGGATGCGTGTCGGATGGCCGATTTTGTGGTGCTGGCGCTTTCCTCCCAGGTCGAGGTGGAGGAAGAGGGAGAATTGCTGCTTAGATCCATCGAGGGTCAGGGTATCTCCAACGTTGTTGCTGTGGTTCAGGTGCGTCTTTACGGTCCACGGGTGGTGTATGGCTCACGTGCTAATGATATCCGTTCATAGGGCCTTGATAAGATCAACCCACCGAAGAAGCGTCCCCAGGTTGCGGCATCCCTCAAGTCTTTCGTCAGCCATTTCTTTCCCTCCATCGAAAAGGTCCTCTCCGTGGATTCTCGTCAAGAATGCTCCAACGCGGTTCGCTCCTTGTGCACGGCCGCCCCCAAGGGTATCCGCTGGCGCGACGAGCGCAGCTGGATGCTTATCGAAAATGTGCAATGGCCCGAGAACAGCGCCGAGGTTGTGGACGATGTGGTCGTGACTGGTGTCGTGCGCGGAAAGGGCCTGAAGGCCGACCGCCTCGTTCACATCCCTGGCTGGGGTGACTTCCAGGTCGACTCTATCACAGCAGCTCCTCTCGCGACGGCGCGAAGCAAGCGGGACGATGCGATGAACGTGGATGACAACGAGGCGCCGCAGCTCTTGGACTCGCCTACGGCGGATCACGACGACATGGCCACCGTTGCTCCCGAAGAGATCGAGATGGAGGACGACGAGTACTCCTTCGCTGGGGAGGAGCGCAAGGGTGTCCTCCTGGACGACCACCACTATTTCTCCGAGGATGAGGAAGACAGCCTGCCCAAGCCCAAGAGACTTCCCAAGGGTACTTCCAAGTATCAGTCCGCATGGTTCTTGGACAACATCTCCGACTCGGGATCCGACTGGGAAGATGAGGAGGACGTTGCGATGGGTGACGAGACGATGGACACTGCCGGCGCCCCTGAGGACGGTGTGTTCCCAGACCACGGGGATGCCATGACGGAGGCTGGTCCCTCGGAATATCCCCAGTCCGAGATGTTCGTTGATCCGTCGCCCGAGGATGATGCCCGACAGCTGGAGGAATACCGGGCCAGCCGCCGCAACGAGGCCGAGGAGGACCTGGAGTTCCCTGACGAGATCGAGCTGCACCCCAACGTTCTTGCCCGCGAGCGCTTGGCCCGCTTCCGCGGTCTGAAGAACTTCAAGACCAGCCCGTGGGAGACCTCCGAGGACCGCGCGCACGAGCCCGAGGACTGGCGCCGGCTGCTCCAGTTCGCCGACTACAAGGGCGCGAGGAACAAGTTCCTCCGCGAAGCTCTCGTCGGCGGCGTCAACCCCGGCGCGCGGGTGGATGTGCACCTGCGCGCTGTGCCCGCCGCCCTCCGCAACCGCCCGCAACCCCTCTCTCTCTTCTCGCTGCTGCGTCACGAACACAAGCACACGGTGGTCAACATCAACATGCACCTCAACTCGAGCGTCGAGGAGCCCCTCAAGTCCAAGGAGGAACTGATCGTCCAGTACGGCCCGCGCCGCCTGGTCGTCAACCCGATCTTCTCCGCGGGCGACAACACCCCCAACAACGTCCACAAATTCGACCGCTTCCTGCACCCCGGCCGCAGCGCCGTCGCCACCTGGATCGGCCCCTTGACCTGGGGCGCGGTGCCCGTGCTCGTCTTCAAGAGCAAGAAACCCGCCGCCGCCGAGGACCCCGAGGAGATGGTCGACGCCGTCGACGAGGAAGAAGAAAGCCCCCGTCTCGACCGCCTCGAGCTCATCGGCAAAGGCACCGTCATCGCCCCGGACCAGAACCGCGTCGTGGCCAAGCGCGCCATCCTCACGGGTCACCCGTACAAGATCCACAAGCGCGTCGTCACCGTGCGGTACATGTTCTTCAACTCCGAGGACATCCAGTGGTTCAAGGCCATGCAGCTGTGGACCCGCCGCGGCCGCAGCGGTTTCATCAAGGAGTCCCTCGGTACGCACGGTTACTTCAAGGCCACCTTCGATGCCAAGATCAATCCCCAGGATTCCATCGGTATCAGTCTGTACAAGCGGGTGTTCCCGCGCAAGGCGCGGACTCTGGAGGAGGTGGTCTACTAAACTTACCTCCTTTCCAGGCGTGTTGGGCTTCCTTGGCTAGAATTGCTCAGGGGATTTTAGGGAGAGTGTGTGTGCGAGAGAGCACGAGATAGATTATCTATGATACCACCGAACCTTTTTTTTTCACTTTTCGAGGCACATGAACCATTGATGATGATGCTTATGTCTGTGGGATCTTTCTCAGTTCACAGTCATAAATTTACAACAAAAAGTACAGTACATCTTGTTGCGTTGAACATTTCTCTTCCCTTGGCAGGATAGTTATAGATAGCAGGTCAGGCTTTAATGATGAGTTACGAGATTTCGTTCTTCTCTTCCTTCTATTGATTTTAGGTTCTCAAAATTGTCACATTCATTCCAAATAGATCACATCTAAAAGTCATGCCCCCAACAACTACGGAGTATTTACAGTCCTCAAAATAGAATAGTAGTCATATCAAAAGACTCGCCACGTGACCCCATTCTCCCGATCTAGAGTACAGCACTGTCGATAGTTCTGCCAACCCTCCCCGCCCGATAAGCTCCTGCTCCTCCTGCTCCTCCGGCCCCGGAGATCTACAGTGACACTGACACTGACACTGACACTGGCATTCTATTCTCCGAGTTCAGCGCAGTCCAGCGGCATTGTACAGATAAAAGCACACCACCCCACATCTCCTCACCCACCCCTCCAAAATAAAAAATAAGGAAGATGAGCCGCAACTTCGTCCCAGTAGCCCTATCCATCGGCGCCGGGGTCCTCGGCGGTGCGTCACATACATTCTTTGCCTGCTCCTGCTCCTGCTCCCCCCATCAAAAAAGTGCCCGGCTGTGCCGGCGCACTCGCCGCTACGAGATCGAGATTCATATACTGACAGTGTCTTTCGGGGGGTTAGGGTACTATGTCTGGCAACCGTATTTCAAGGAGATGCAGCTACACCAGCAACACCAGCAGTCGTTGAATTCGTATGTTGTTCCGATCCACACTTCCCTGGGATTGGGGTCTTGGCTTGGGAGAGTTACTTGACACAAAGGGGGATGGCGTGCTGTACTATAGGATCAATGCTGATGGTTGGGGGAACGCTCTAGGGAATCCACCGGTTCGACAGCGCCGCAATCACAGGTTTCGACATCTACATCTACACCGACATCGACACATCAGGAGGCGGTCGCTGCGTCTACGACGGATTCGGGGGTGGGGAAGGCAGCGGGGCAGTGAGGGGGTCTTTTTGGGGGTTGGTTGGATGGATGGAATATCACTAGATTTTCGCGCCCATGGTGCAAAGTGCAAGGTGCAAGGTGCAAGGTGCTTGCCGGGCGTGCTGCTGGGCGGTGCGGGTGAGCACTTCGCTTATATGCAGTGCTCTCACTGGGCCCGGGGGGGAGGCTGGAAGAGTCCATGGCATCGCGGGTCTTGCTGGCTGTTATGCACAGGCCAGACGTGTCAAATACTCTGCTTGGGAAAGGGAGGGGCCCCCTCCAGGAAAGACATGCTCCACCGAAAGAAAGAAAAAGCCATCATGTATACTATCATATTGTATCATACAGTCACATTAACAGGAAATCATTCAATTTAGAATACATGTCCCTTCCTGGTTGTAAGACCCCCAGTAAAACGCCTCCGCTCCGATTGTGCGCCGCCGAAACCCTCCCTCCCTCCTTTCTATACCTCTTGGACAATTTTGCCCGGCCCAGCGCCGAAGACCTGTGCAGCCGGCGTGCCAACCCACTCCTCCGGCACGCCCACGCGGCTGCCAGCCCGACCACTGACCCAGCGCACCATCGTGGGGTCCGGCTTTTGATACGCTTCCTGGATCTCTTGATCGGCGGTAGCATTCTCGGCAGCCTCGGCGGCGGGGATGCGTCCTCGGCGCTTGGGGGCCTGCTTGCGCAGCAGTCGGTTGATGGTATCCATCTAGAACGGTGGTTAGTGCGCGCACGCGCGGTCATGAGCTTGAGAAGGCTCGGTTAGGCTCTAGGGTCACACACCTTCTCTTCTTCGTTCCGCTTCTCGCTAAGGTTCTTTCGGCGACGGGCCATTTCCGCGCGGCGCATAGCGCGCTCCTCTGCGGTCAGGTGCTTCTTCACCTGGGGTTCTGTTTATGGTCAGTCGTGGCCGGGTGAGCAGTGATACGGAGGTCCTACCCATCGGGAGTTGCAGGAAGTCATTTCCCAGGTTGCCTCGCTGCCGTTTGGTCATGCGAGTGAGATCCGCAGTCGGCGTCCCGTCACTGTCGAGATCTTCATCCTCCTCATCCTCCTCGTCCAGCTCCTCGCCTCCATTCCCGGTCACCAGCATACTCTCGTCCTGGTCATCAGGCTCGCCCTCAGCGTCGGTATCTGGTTCCGACAACTCCTCGTCATCATCGTCATCGTCGTCGTCCAACTCCATCTCTTTCTCCTCAACACTCTTGACTGCTTTCGCACTAGGTGCAGCGGCGGCAGCAGCTGCTGCTGCTTTCGCATGTCGCTTAGGCACTGGGGGTTGCGGTGGGGCATCATCCATGTCGAGATCCCCTTCAGCATCAAGATCTTCGTCCTCCTCTTCATCCTCCTCGTCCTCCTCCTCATCTTCGTCATCCTCGTCCTCACCGGGAGCATCTTCGTCGTCGACCTCGTCCTCTTCCTGGTCTTCGAGATCATCCTCGTCGCTGGTGTCTACTTCGACCAGCTTCTTCCTGGGCCGGCTAGTGCGGGGGCCCGTGATGATCGGGTTCTCGGTGAAGACATTCACCGAGCGCCGAGTGGCAGGCGCCCCTCGGGAGCTTCCCCCGGTAACTTCTCTGAGCTTGTTGGAGGGCATCTTGACGGTCAGATGAATCGATCGCTTGGATGATTTCCCGGATACGTCTGATGGAACACACACCGCGGTCACTGCGGGGGTGGATGAAGCAGCAGTAGCAGCAGTAGTAGTAGTAGCAGCAGCAGCAGCAGCGCGGGTGCTTCTTGTGGATCTGGAAGAGTCGTTAATATCTATCATGCTTGATTGATCATTGCGCCCCCCGTGGGACCGCAGTGAGCGACGGAGCGACATGGTGGGTTTGGGGGGAGATTAGGAGAGGCGATGAGCAATTGCGAGGTTCCGTAACGAGTGATTGATAGTCAAGGTTCCAGAGGGAATTTGCGCGGGCGGACAAAAGCTGCGTCACTCGCACGTCGAATAGACAGAGGGAAAGTGAACAAGTAGTTGAAGTGAGAAAAGCGAAAAAGCAAGCAAAGCCTTCTAGGGCCCATGCGAGGATGTGATGCGGGGAAATAAGGCTAAGGAGAGGAGATACGGGGGTGATAGTGGTGAGGTGTGATGGGGATTGGGGAGATGGAAATTACCATCACGAAGGATGGATGAGTGAAAATGAGGGTGTTGGAGGGAAGAGAAAGGCGGAGGGAGAAATGAAATGAGGGGAGCGAAGCGCAGTCCATCTATCAGAAGGAGAGGTCTTTCTGACTGCTGCTGCTGATGTGTTGTTGGTTGGTACATCAGCAATTTCGTCGTCATCTCCTTCTTCCTTCCTTTTTCCTCACTTTCGACTTTTGCTTCCTTCCACACCTCACATCTCCACCACATTCTCTATCTTTCTCCCTCCCTTTCTCTCGTCCTCTCTTGCATCGAAGAGAAGAGGGGCAGGGAAGCAATGAAGCGAAGAAGTGCGACGCGGCAAGGCACAGACAGAGCATGGATGATTAACCCCAATCAGATGGCGATCGAACAGCCACTTGATTCATTTGATTCACGAGGCCTGGGAGCCAATGGGAGGATTCTCGGCCTCCTTGTCCTCAGACGGTGAACCCAAACGGCGCTGCAGTCCGTTGCTGTTGCGCAACCCCGGATCACCCAAGGAATGGTTTTGGTTTCCTGCTCCGATGGGGAGGCTTGATCCGGACTGGGGGTCAGGAGGAGGGGCAGTGGCAGTCTATCCAAGGATTTCTTTAAGGTGTCTCGATCACGCAGCAAGCCAGTGCAGCCGAGAAGGGAGCAGAGGCAGTCAAATGAATGGGATGGGATGGGATGGGGGTGAATGGGTGGAAATCAATGAGAAACAACAACAGCCTCGAGCAATCCACTCACTCACTCACTCACTCACTCACCGGCTTCAAGGGTAGAACGAGGCGTCCCGTTCCAACCACAGTCACGTCAAACGAAGGGCTGATCAATAATGCGGCGGTCACGGCCGATCGTGCGAATCGAAGCAGTCGGTCTCAGCCCTGATCCTGATTCTGAATCCAACAACCTAAGTTATGTACTCCGTATCCATCCATTCATTCATCGATGATGGGCGAAGATCGAATAATCTTCGGTTGCCCCTTCACCGCCGCCACTTTGTGCCGGGCGGTCGGTATCCTTGGCGTTTGCGGCGGTATTTGCTTACATCCCTTCTTTCTATACTTTATATTTCCATTGAGCTGGTTTATTGTTGTTCGCTGTGATGGGCAAGAGCAAGAGTACATCGCAGTGTTTCAAGAGCTCCCTTCGGTTAGCTTAAAGGACTTGATATTTGCGGACATAGGAAGGGAACTAAGGTCATCATGCGTAGAACCTGCTCAATCCAACCAGATCTCTCCAAGATATCAATATATATCAAGGCCCATCTCGGGATGCACGTGCTAAGCCCACGACGTTTGACGCAAAGTAAATCATTCTTGCTACCAGTCTATGTATAGTATGAAACCCTGATGGTCACTTCCTACTTTTTAACTGCATAATCATATTAATTCTCCCCAAAGTAATAATCCCCAAGTCATGCTTAGCAGCAAACCCAGGCCGAATTCGGGGCAGGCCTGGTCTTATCACACTCGGTCGATACAGCCGAGGTTTATCTGGCTGACTGTCCATCTCCGCCTGCCGGACTCCGCACTTCCTCTTCCTCCTTCCATCTTTATTCCACTCTACTCTCACCTTACAGCTTCCTTGCGTGATCACCATGGCAGACAAGCCAAAGTCCTCAATTCCAGAGTGGCAAAAACCCAATGCCAGTTCGGAGCGTAGCAGCACTGGCACCACCGCCACCACCACCACCACCAACCCAAGCGCAGATGATAACCACACCGAAGAGCGCCCAGCGCTCCTCGACCAAGCCGCCAAGTTCCTCCAGGATGACTCCATTCGCGACGCCTCTGTCGAACGCAAGAGAACCTTCCTCGAGACCAAGGGACTGCGCAACGATGAGATTGACCTGCTCCTAAGCCAGTCCCCAGAGGAGTCCAGCACCTCGGAGGAGCCGAGCAGCAACCCCGAGGACGCCAACAACCACGAAGCTCCCAGCAGCAGCAGCAGCAGCAGCAGCAGCAGCAGCAGCGCATCTACATCACACTCCTCCTCCTCAACAGCAACACCAGCAACAAACACCTCACCCGCCCCACCAACCAGCACCAGCAGCACCGGCACCTCCACCTCCACCACCAGCCCACCTCCACCCCGCGACATCCCCCCAATAATCACCTACCCGGAATTCCTCACCACGCCCGCCACGCAACCGCCGCTCATCACCCTACGCAGCACGCTGTACACCCTCTACGGCGCCGCAGGCCTAGCAACGACCTTCTACGCCGCCAGCGAATACCTGGTGAAACCGATGATCGCCCAACTGACCGCCGCGCGCCACGACCTGGCCGAGACCACGACCACCAACCTACGCACCCTGAACACGAAACTCGAATCCGTCGTCTCCACCATCCCCCCGCATCCCAGCAGCACCGGCGGCACCAGCATCCCCTCCGAAAACCCCGGAGGCGGCGCAGACGACGAAGACACAGAATCCATAACCTCCGACCCAACGGAACTCTTCCACCGCGACGTCGCCGTGCAAACCAGCCCCAGCCCCAGCCCGAGCCCCAACCCCCACCAACTCGAACCCACCCAACCTTCCCTAATCACAGCAGCAACAGACGAAGATCCAACCCCAACCCCCCTCTCAAAAGCCCGCACCCACACGGCCAGGATGCACACCCTGACGGCCCACCTCCGCTCCCTCACGGACACCGACCACGCCGCCTCGGAGCTCGACACCGCCCTGCGCGCCAAGCTGAACGACCTCCACCATTACCTGGATACCTATATCTACAGCAAACCCGGGGCGGGGGCCATGTTCAACCCCATGGCGGGATACGGGGTGTTCAGTACCCCCGGGGTGGATGCCACGAATACATCCGGGACCAACGGGAACGGGGGCTTGGGGTTGGGGAAAGGGGAGGAGGATGCCATCGCCAATTTTCGGACGGAGATCCGCGGCGTCAAGGGGGCGTTGTTGAGTGCCAGGAACTTTCCGGCGGGTGGGGGAGGTAGTAGAGGAGGCGGGGCTGCTGGGCGAGCGTTGGGAGGGGGGTTGGCGGGGGTTTCGGGGAGGATTGGGCGGCCTGGGTCGGAGTAGGGTTGGGGTTCTGTTTCAGGGGTTGAGTGGATATTGAAGGGGGAGGGGGAGAATCCTGATCTGGTTGAAGGAGGAGAGAGCAGAGATTGTAAATAAAGAGTCTGATTTGATGCTCTTGCGGTTATGTGGTTGTTGATATCACAACAGGTATCATACAACATACAATGCCAGCCAGCGCAACTAATTGCCTACGCCACTACGTCAAGTGAACATAAAACAACTGATCTACCCTCTTTTACTTCTACTTAGGCCAGGTAAAACATAATATCAACATTAACAGCGGAATAATAAAGAAAAGCGACCCCGTTGCCAGCCGAACCCCGCGTCGGCCGGTTCCAGAGGTCAAAAGTCCAGTACAGTCAAACAATTATAGAAAACTCTTGCCTTGTACATACAACTCATGATCGTCACATACTCAACCTTCACGGCGTGGCTTTGCTCATGCTGATCAAACGTTTCACTCCAACCTAATGTCTCGATTAGCTCAGTGCGAATAATTTGGGTTACCAAGCAGACTTACCATCCAGTTACCGCACTCGTCCGTCCGGTTGGTCATGATGTTCACGTGGATCGCGCGCGCCGTCTCATAATCACGCGCCTGGATGGCGTGAGCAAGCTGCGCCATGTCCGCAACCGTGTTGGGCTTCAGCAGATCCTCGTTGTTGAGATGGTCGAACAGAAGATTCAGTCGCCGTTCCGCATCATCGACCTGCGCCTTAAACGAAGACGGGGCCCGCGACCTCACTCGCTGCATGTCGGCCGACAGGATCTCGTACACGGGCATGGCATCGGCAGGGATGTGGGAGCGGTCACCAGGGGCTGAGACCCATTAGTATTTCGTCCAGCTTGATAGAAACATGATCTACTTACGGTACTTGGGCGCCGTCGGGGCAGGCTTCTTCTGCGAAGAGGCCGTGCTGGGTCGGGATCCCGCGGCCTGGGGTGGGGGAGGCGCATGCTGCTGCATGGGTGGGGCAATGGGCGAAGGCGTGCTGGGAGCGTACTGGTTCGCTAATGATTGCATGGCGGGCTGAGGGGCATACGGGGAGGCGGCGGCCTGCGGAGGGGGAGGCACGGGCGCCCGCGTCTGGAGCTGAGGGCTGGCGGCTTGAGCAGCCGGGCTCGGTGCGTACCGGTTTGTGGGGGGCGGCATCGTAGGAGGTGCGTTGTAAGGCGAAGGTCCCCGAGGGATTGAAGCGGGCACGCCCATGGCCGAGGGGGGAGACTGTGGCAGGGAGGCATAGGGGTTGGCCGCAGGAGGAGGCATCGAGGAAGGCGCGGGAACGGCCGAGGGCGGCGACATCACCCTAGGAGGAGGGGCGCCGCCCTTGGGCGGAGGAGGGACGGAGGGGATCCGGCCGACAGGTGCTCCAACCGGGGGAGGAGGGCCTTGCGCGAGGGTAGGAGACTGGTTCGGGAACGGAGCGTTGATAGGCGCGGAAGCAGTGGCAGGAGTCGACCGACGGGGCGTAGGTGCTTTAGCGAATCCCTCGGGCAAGTCATTCCACGCAGGCAGGTTGGTGGCCGTGGTGTACGTGGTAATGGTGTTGGCCGGAGACTGGTTGGTCGCGCGTGGAGGCGGGGGCACAGTGCCGCCTAGAGGCTGAGCACCATAGGTAGGGGCCTGTGGCGGTTGATATCCGGCGGGAGTGTAGCCGCTGCCGGCGGTGGAGGGAGCGTACGGATTCGTGGGCTGGGCCGGTGCCGAGGCAGTCGGAGGAGCATAAGGGTTGACGGGAGCAGCAGTCGGGGGAGCATATGGGTTGGCGGCCGCAGCAGTCAGGGGGGCGTACGGATTCGAGGGAGCAGCAGCGGGAGCAGCAGGAGCATAAGGGCTGGGAACTGCAGCAGGCGCCGCGGGCGAGAAGGTTCTCGTGGGCTGGTATCCACCCAAAGCAGGCTGAGGAAGCGGCTTGTTGAGATTGGGCCTGGCTGCTGCGCTGGTCGCAGTCTGCGTCCGTTGAGGAGCGGCGGCTTGTCTCGTTGCCAGGCGGATGCGGTTTCTGGCAATCTCGGCCTCAGGGTGCTTCTCGGGCACAAGATCGAGATACTTCTGTGCAACCTGTAGTCGTCCATGGGTAGCAACAACGTCGGCGTACTCGATATACTTGTCGTACAGCGTGCTGAGCTTCCAATCCGACTCCTTGGTACGCTCGGTGTCCTCGAACTTGGTGACCTGGCGGAAAATCGTCACCTTCTCAATCAGACTCTGCAGAGCACGGACGTGGATCGAGAAAGCAGAATCGTCAGCAGAGGCCTCGATGGCCTTCTGCTCACGCTCCCGCAGCTCCTCAATCCAGATAGCAACAACCTTCTCCAACTTGGAACCGGCCAAGAAACAGAACGAGGCATCCTTGCGAAAGGCCTTGTCATCCGAGTTACGGAGCTCCTCCTCCAAGCGATCACCCAGAGCATCGCAGAGATCCGCGAACTCCTTCTCGTCGGCAAAAGTGCAAAGAGCTGCCATAACCTCCTTCCAGTTGGACAAATCGGCGTTGTAGACGACGTCCCAGAGATTCTTGCCCACAATAGATGCGAGCAAACGCACGTAGTTCGGGCTGTGGGTTTGCTTGGAGAAGTAGTGCTCTTGGGCCTTCTCAATGCATTTCTGACCTCCGCAGATGGCAATCATGAACGCGTCCGAGAGACGATCCTCCTTGAGTGCGACATCAAGGGCCTTCTCGAAGTCACCGAGGAGCAACGCTCTGGTGATGCCAGTGTCCGCTTCGGTCTCCTCTCCGTTGAAGATGTGGAAGGGGTTGTTGGTCTTGGCGCCCTTGGAAGCAGCCAGGTCAGACAGGAAGTTATCCGCGTCCGCGCTTGTGTCGAAGACGGATTGCAGACGGCGGTGCTTCTTGGCTCCCGACCCGCGGGATTCCTTGGGCTCCTCGCCGTTGACTTCCTCGTCATCCTCCTTGTTCAGACCCAGCTTGGCTAAGCTATCAGCAGCCTCGTCAGCTTGATCCGCGAATCCGAGATACTCAACCAGACCCTTGCGAGGATCGGCCGAGATTAAGGCCTCAATGACCTTCCAGTCGGCCTTCTCCTCTTCACTGGTAGCGTTGGCAGCCCGGGTTTCGCAGATGTTGCGCAAATCACCCTCCTTGAGCGCGCTCTCAAAGGTCTCGGTCGACTTTCCAACCGCCTCATCAACCTCGAACGGGGTGATCTTGATTTTCGATGCACGCTGGCCCTTCTCAACCAAGTTCACAGAGACGACTCTGCCTCCAAATCCAAAGGTTGCGCCACACGGCCGTTCCAGCCACTTGGGGGCCTTGGGCAGCGAGAAGCTGGAGACCTGGGGCTGAGTCTGGGCCTTGGCGAAGAAGTCCTCGCCATCGAGGGCCTGGTTCTGGTCGGCAATCGCCTGGGCAGTTTCGGTGCTGGTGTTCTGGATGGTCTGGATGGCGATCTTTCCGTCGAACGAAGCGGTGGCGAAAAAGTTGGGGTTGTGAGGGTTCCAGCGCGTCTGGAAAGTCCAGTTTGTGACAACGGGGAACTCTCCGTAGGCGTGACCGGTCTGGGGGTTCCAGCAGAGGGTGCGGTTATCTTTGCCGGACGAGAGGAGCAGATCGGGATCCTGGGCGCACCAGGAGAGCGACAAGACGCCGGATTCGTGGCCCCGGAGGGTTCTTTCCGGGGCGTGAGAGTTACGCAGATCCCAGACACAGATCAAGGGGTCCGACTCGAGCGGCGTGGCCGTGACGAGTTTCGTAGGCTGGTAATGGTCAGCAAAACACACCCGCAGACAGCCACGGTTAGAGTCTCACCTTCTCCGGGTCCCAGGCCACAGCACTGACGGCTTTCCGGCCCATGTTGTTCAGCGTCAAGCTCTCCTTCTTGGTCTTGACATCCCACACGGTAACGAAGCCGGCACTGCTACCCGTGACCAGGATATGCGCGACCTTTTTGTTCCAATCCAAGCACTCGATGTCATCTGCGCGGGCGGCCGTGCCTCCGAGTCTAGAGGGGTTCGCAATGTCGTTCAGGTCGGAAATGTACAGCTAGTCGTAATCATGAGCTCCAACATCCATTGTTCAGACATGTATAAGGGGGCATTGTACCTCGCCCTTGGCACCACCGGTGGCCAGCAAGTTAGAGTGTTTGGGGTTGAACTGGAGAGCCTTGATAGCCCCTGAGTGTTTGTTGGTCCTCGAGATGACGGCATCACTGCCCGGGCGTCAGCTAATCGATTAAAACGACAACGCCATTGTAGGGATGACAGCACGAACCTGGATCCACTGAGCAACTTATCGGCATCCCACAGATCCAAAGATCCATTCTCCAAGGCACCCGCGATCACACCCCGAGAGCTGTCCTCGGAATCCGTCCATGCCAAGTCGTTGAAGCTGTTCGAGCAGAAGAGTTAGTGTTTGCCTATATTTCCAAAGCATCGGAAAGCTAGAAAGCGCACCCCGAGTCAGTGTCAATCTTCGCTACCGGCTGCAGCTCGCCGCCGGCCTCGTGGCGGCTCAGGTTGAGATCCCAGAGCTCCAGACACGTTTGATTGGAGAAGTCAACATCCACGGCGCCGGCGCGAGTACCCGTAGCAATCAATGGCGAAGCAGCTCCAGGAGACCAGGCAAAGGTGGCCGTCCGGGGAATTTCCCTCAGACGAACCATGGTGAACGTGGAAAGGAGTGGCAGGGAAAGATGGAGGTATAGATTAGAAGGCGACGGAGCTGGCTATTGCGGGGGGGGATTGTTGTTCTGGCCAGCAAATGAATGAATTGGATGCGGGGGGAAGAACTGAAAGAGAAACGGTGGGGGTAGTGAAAATCCGAGTACCCAAAGTCGTGTAGGTAGGAGTAAGAGAAAGAAAAAAAACTGAAATGGAAGAAATCCTCCCCTCTCTGACACAAGACACAAGACAGGAGAGACCGAGGGGTGCAGGTTGCAGGTGAGAGTTGCCAAGTCGACTGGCGATTCGAGGCGTGACGGCAATCAACCAAGTGTCCTCCTCGGGGGGGCCGCTGCGACCGACCGACCGACCCGCTTAACCACTTTGGACACTGCCCGGCATACCACGTGATCGATATCAGCCTCTCTCTCTGTCTCTGCCTCTCCGCGAAAGTCTGCGCCCACGCCGAAGATCGACCGGGCAAGGAAGCTTGACAACCAAGCTTGGATATCATTCTATAAGCTGGGCCCGTGCCCCCTAGAGCTCCCATTTCAAGCGACCTGTGATCTGTTCAGCGAGTACGGCTATTCACACTCAAAATCACCATCCTTACCGCCTTGCAAAGCCTCAACCATGAGTGAAAAGGCTCGTTTGAAGTGTACCATCTATGTGGGCGGTCTGGACCAGGCTGTGACGATGCACACGCTGGCGGAGGCATTTGTCCCCTTTGGCGAGGTCGTGGACATCACCCTGCCGAAACCCGACCTGCCCAACTCGAACGAATCCCACCGCGGCTTTGGATATGTGGAGTTCGACCTGCCTGAGGATGCGAAAGAGGCTATCGACAACATGGACGGCAGCGAGCTTTACGGACGTACGATCAAGGTCGCCGCCGCGAAACCGCAAAGGGAAAGCAATGAGGGACTGGGCAGCAAGACAGCTATCTGGGAACAGGTACGCGATCCATTCGGACATCACATCCAAGAATCTACGAGCTAATCGCGTTTCACTACAGGAGGGCTACTTGGCCAAATACGCAGTCAGCGAGGAAGATAGATTGGCCACAGAGCAGGCTCAAGCAGGCGCTAACGCAGAGACTGAAGACCCCATGCAAGGACTGGTAGAGATGGACGTTGCCGGCCCAAAGCCTGAATGAATTGCCGGGGACATTTTCTACCCGCCACGCGGAGTGCATTGGCAGGGATACTACAGAAAAAGGCCAGCCGTAACACTGCACGAGCACTGCATCAGAACCCTTCGATTTAAAGCCGTACTATATACACGCGCTGCAACCCTGAGCTTGAGATATGCCGAGCTTTTTTTTCGTCGGCATCGGCCGCGACACCATGCAATCTCCCTCTACCTCCCGTGGATAGTACAGATCGCCATCAAAACAAAACAAGGAATCGCCCATTGCAATTTGGAATCAAAGTGTGATGGTACATTCTCTAGTGCTCACGGGACTCGGGGCTGTTGCGGTACAGACGGAGGGTCTTGTCGGTCATGAGCTTCTTGGAGCTGGAGTAGATGGCAGCACCGACAGCGACGCTGCGAGGAGAAGCGTTAGCGATGGCAAGTTCTGTGAGGGGGGAAAGGGAGTTGGTGAGGAGGGGTCAGAAGAAGGAAATAGATCATGTTCGACCCATGTGATGTAACAAGTCAATTGAACCAGGAACTATGCACATACCCCAAGACAAGACCTGTAAAGTGATAGAAATGATGATTAGCCTATCTGCTGACACCGTTGGATCATGTTGGCGCACGGGAAATACATACCAAGAGGGATCAACTCCGGGGGGATGCGCTTGAGGGTGCGCAGACGCTGGGAGATAGTGTGGGCTAGAGCACTGTGTTAGTCCAATTGCGACTTCCAGAAATACACTGTTGCAAGCTTCTAGTCGGCAATGGCGCATTGAGGGAAAGCTTCATACCGCTCTGGTTTTCCTTCTGCAACGTTTGTTAGCCATCATGCAACTGCCAAGCCCAATTTTTCCCGGCTCACATCCACGAGGGGGGGAGGAAAGGAAGGGAGAGAAGAAACTCACAGGAGTAGGAAAAGCGAAAGGCCGGGTGGCCTGCATGCGCATGATAGTGGTGGGATACATGGCGATTGTTTGTGGGGGTGAAAGACCTGGCTGGAGGTGGGTTGGATGGGGGAATTGGGGAGAGGAGATGGAATGGGAGGCTTCGGATGTGGTGACGGAAGTTGAGCTCATTCGGGCCTTGTGGCTGTGGTGTGGAATTGGATCACGAGTTCCCAACTGCGAGCCTGGATGACTCAGGCAGCAAACCACCTCAAGATGACGGATCGGGGTGTTTAGGAAAGGTAGGCGCATGAGTGGCTCGCTACAGTAGGCGGTCAAGGTTGAACTTGGGGCCCGGCTGTACTGCTTCACGGGATCATTCCACTCCACCAGCGCGCAAACCTCACCCCCATCTTTCTTTCTCCAAGCCCTCTCTCTCTCTTGCTTCCCTCCTCCTCCCCCTCCCCCCTCTCCACCACCCACCCCTTTTCCTCTTCCCCAGTTTTAGATCCATTTTCAGGCTCTGTCCTTAGAACCGTCACAATGGGTGCCATTCCTGAAGCCGATCCCGATGAGCCCCAGGAGACCAAGCCCTTCAAGTTCGTGACAGGTGAGCTTTCCCAAACCCGGATAATCCGACTTGTCTCCCGCATCCCCAATTGAGGTCAATTGCTAACTAGTATACAGCCGGTACGTATCTCTCCAGGTTCTTCATTGATCCGGTCGCTTATCGATGAACGAATACGGCCGGTTCTTCATCAATCGTGGTGGGAAAGCTGACTGACCAAACGTCTTGATGTAACGATATACAGGCTATGACGCTCGCTTCCCCCAGCAGAACCAGTACGTGATAAGCCAAGTCCCTTAGACTCTCCTCCACCTATTATGAACCTTCATACTAATGCAATTGAACAGGACCAAGCACTGCTGGCAGAACTACGTCGACTACTACAAGTGTGTCAACGCCAAGGGCGAGGACTTCCGCCCATGCCGTCAGGTATATCAATCCCGTCGACTCCCTCCCCCCTCGTCCTCGGCTACCAAACCCGCAACTGTCTACCAGCACCACCCCCACCATCACAGCGAACCCATCATAATTACAGCACTAATCTTTTTGACTACCAGTTCTACCACGCTTTCCGCTCCCTCTGCCCCAAGGCCTGGACTGACCGGTGGGATACCCAGCGCGGTACGTATCTGTCTCCATCCCTCCACCTTTAATCCACAACAGCAAGTAACTAACCCCCAAATAGAGGCCGGAAACTTCCCCGCTCGCCTGGAGTAGAATGCTAGAAAGTTGAACAAATCCATGTTAAAGTTCTTTATGTGCTTTTGTTTTATTTTGGTCAAACAAATGTACTCTACTACCCTGATTCGGAGCCCAATCCTCCCGAATTGAACAAACCAAGCGGGAAATGTCTTTTCTTTTTCTTCCATGCTTTTCGTTGATCCAGAGGGGAAAGCTGTACGGACATAGTAAGGACGTGTAGTGTGCAAACCCGAGAAAACGTGACCGAGATCCGCACCTGTATATGATCATTGCGTATCTAATCTATCAGTGCATGTGCCTCTCATATCTGCCGATAGAAGTAGTATGATCAAAATGACGATCTCACCCACGGGACTCCGTACCCCAGTGCCCGTGGCCGATATCAGATCCGGCGGACATCATACGATCCGATCTTCTCTCCAGCCTCGCGAGTCAATCGCTTCGCATACTGTAAATTCTATACTCCAATGAAGTGCCTGAAGTCACATACTCTTCCATATGTTCTCACCTAGAGATTTCTTTCCTAGTGAAATGACATATGCAACAGGAATTGACCCCGAGCACCTACTGGAGTTTCTTGGCTTTCCGGGCTAGTAAGCTACAATGCCTCCCATTGCTCCAGCAAGAGTCGAGGCTGAATACAAAGCTATCCCCATAAATGCATACATTTGTGTTCTACAGCACCGAAGATAAATGCAATCCACAACTTGCAATCTGAAGTCTCTATGTGTCTATTGCAGATTTCATGTCTAGTCTATCTATCTCAAATGACGAATGCCACACTCTCACTCACCCACTCACACAATCCAACCAAGCAGTATACAGAAAACCCCCTCCCTCCCGCATGTTTCTGGTCTCATCCATGTGATCGGGGGGTGAAAGTGAGGAAGCGATAGGTGTGAAGGGAGAGTTACTCACAGCCACCCCACCGAGGACGGTGTTGTCTCCACTCGGCCATCTGCAAGCACAAGTCCAGCACAAAAAAAGAGAGAGAGAAAATGATATTATGTACAAGCGATAAGCCCGCAAGAGAAATGAATAACCAGAGGGAAAAAAAAACTTTTATCCACCCAAAATTTCACAATGCTTCGCCAAAACCCCAACATAAAACAAGATGAAGAAGGATACTATGCTAGAAAGAAATCCTAGCAAAAAATGTATCGTGGATATCAATGCGGTGTATAGACAGTTCCCAGACATAACAGGGAAAGAGAAGACGACGACCAACAGAAAGTAGGGCAAGCGGAAATCACCGCTTCTCCTCCGATTCGATCCCCTTCACCCACCGGTAGAGCTTCTTATGCTCCTCCAGGAAGATGAAGGTGGCGATCGTGTGCGGACCCAGACGGATGAAGCTGGGCACCCAGCCGCGGAAGGCCCAGGCGTAGCCCTCCTTGCGGGTGATCTCGCGCAGCAGGGCGGGGATGCTCTGGCTGTGGCCGTGGCTGGCGGTCATGACGCGGGTCTTGATCACGTCGACGGGGCTGCAGACGGTGGTGGCGACGAAGCCGGCCATGAACGAGGCGGCGAAGTGCGTGCCCAGGTTGTCCGACATGCCGATGCGCTCGATGCACAGCTTCTTGAAGGTGTCGTACGAGGCCAGCTGCGAGGCGGTCATCAGCACCGCGCGCGTCGAGTTCGGCCACACCCCGCGGAACAGGCTGGCGGCGCCCTCGGTGCGCGTCATCTCCACAAGCCCGTGGAAGGCGTGGCGGTAGTTGCGGCGTTGCGCCGGGGGCAGCGCCGCGTCCGACTGCATGCGCACGTTCAGCACGTCCGCCGGGTTGCCGGTCCAGCCGCCGATGAAGCCCGAGGCGCACGCGATCCCGATCAGCGTGAAGAAACTGGGCGTCGACCCGGGCGTCGTGAAATAGTTCTTGAGTTCCTCGTAGATGCCGAACCGCGTCGTCGAGTAAGTCACCTGGCGCAGAAGCGCGGCCGATAACTATAACGCCCCCCAGAAATCAGCCAATTTGTCCCCGACAACCCTTCTTCCAAACTACCAAAAGCCGTAGCTAGAGAAAAGAAAAAACGTACCCCTCTATACAAGCCCCGAACGCCATCGGTCTTGATCACATGTCCAAACGTTCCCACCATGGAGGTGGGCGCCCCAGGCCCGCGAGTCTGCAATCGAACCTAACAAAGTTTCCAGAATTTTTGTTAGTACACCGGGAATACCTCAATTGAGTGTTGGCGATAACACAGCCCGAAACCGCCGACGAAACACATAAGCCAGGCAAAAGTGAAACAAATAATGGAGCGCAAATTTTACCTTGACTATAAGTCACCACCAAAAAAAGTCAGTCACTCAGCGTCATCATTCATAGAATTCAACTCCGCCACCAGAGCGCCAAAAGAAAACTTACCAAGGTCCAAAGGGTGTGTGACGGCCGCCGCAAAGCAAGAGGCCGAACCACCAAACCAAAAAGGATAATGGATCTTCTTTGCAGGCACCGGAGCGGCAGCCGCTTGAGGAGGCTGTTGGGAGGAAGCCTCCAGCTTCGCACTGCTGACCATCGTGGACATTCCGCGAGGGCGATATGAAAGAAAAGAAAAGCCAAGAAAAGAAAAAGAGAGGGGAGATTTTGGGAGAGTAGTCAAAGGAAGGAAGAAGGAGAAATTGGAGAAACTGGAGAGAGGGAACCCAACAACTCTTTCTGCTGCTGCTGCTTCTTCCTCTTCTTAATAATAATACCAGGAGTAATCCGGTACAGAGACAATACGAGAAGAGATTCGGGCTTCAGATCAACTCTCCGAATTCCAGGGTTGTTCGGCTACACTAACCGATCTCGGCCGTGGCGCACCAATCATATTCTCGGTTTAGACGTCGGACCAGCGGGCCACTAGGCGGTAAGGCCGGCCCTCGGTGTTCTCTCGCCCAATACAACAATACAGAGCACAGAGTACTCTGGAGCAGAAGAGGAGGGGATGGGAGGGAATGATAGGATATCGCCGGGAAAGACGAAGGATGAACACACTGCCCAGACGGTTAATCTTGCAAGGAAACACAAAGGCAAACCATGCAACCAATTCCCTCACGAATGCAGTCATTCCCTTCCATGTCTCTACCCGGCTGTGCTGTACTGTACTGTGCTGCAATCGATCTGCTACGTCACAATGCATACCTCCCCTGCAGGCAGTCAGATCCAACCACTAAGCAGCAGCAAAAACACCAAACAGAGGTAGTTGGATGCTATCATGGGATCTTTAGCCGGGAACTTGAATTCTATTCATGAGGAAAGAGGTCATATCTTTTGTTGTTTTACAAGCCAAGATCTTACATACACACACTATCATACAGACACGCAGCCGTTGCCTTGCCGTTTCCCCAGTGAATTCGGAGTCTGTAGCCGAATTATACACTCATCAGGCATCCAATCTATACACATTACCAACACCCCCCCCCCCCTAGTAAGTCGAACGACTACCGCAGCTCAACCCCCAGCTGAGCAACGAGCTCTTGGCGCAATTTATCGTGTAGATCATTGGTCTCTGCGTTGGTGAGCGTGCGCTCCAGACTCCGGTAGTTGATGCGGTAGCACATGCTCTTGCGCTTGGTTTTGGGGTGCGTGAACTCGTCCACCAGACGCACATCCTCCACCAGATCGCCCGCAACCCCACGAACCAGCTCCATGATATCATTCTCGTGCACGGGCACGGCGCCGCCCGCCGCACTACCGCCACTGGCCGCCCCCGGGGGTAACCAGAAGGCCACATCCTTGTAGCAGGCGGGGTACTTGGAGAAGGGCTTGAAGCGGGTGATCTGACCGGCCTTGAACTGCGACAAGAAGCGCTTGTCCCGCGACCAGAAGAGGCGGATGTCGGGGATATTGAACAGAAGCATAGCGATACGCTCCAGGCCGATCCCGAACGCCCATCCCATGCGGTCCGGCACGTCTGAATTGTTCAGCAGCTCCTGCTTGATGACACCGCAGCCCAGCACCTCCAGCCAGTCCCCCTGCCAGAACACCTCCAGCTCCCAGGAGGGGCTCGTGAAGGGGAAGTAGGCCTCGACCCAGCGGACCTTCAGGGGCTCGGTTTCCTCCTCCGCGCCCGCCGCGGCCTTGCTCGCCTCCGTGAAGATCTTGATGACCATGCGCTCCAGCGACCGCTTGAGGTGCGCGGCGACCTGCTCGACCTCCTCGACACTGTGAAACTCGGCCTGCAGCGGGTTGCGCTGCGGGTGCACGGTGGGGTTGGGGTCCTCGACGACGACGTCGTGGGCCGGGATGCGCTCGACGTCCGCGCAGATCCGCGCCGCCGTCGCGCTGGCATGCCGCAGCGGCTCCTGCTCGGGCCGCTTCCACAGCATCGCCCCCTCCATCTGGTGGAAGACCGGGTAGTGGCTGCGGTCGATGGCATCCCTCCGGTACACGTCCGCGACCACGGTGTAGCCCACTTCCTCCGGGCGAGTGTGCTCGTTGCGGCTGATCTGCTGGAAGTACGCCTGCTGATGGGCGCTCGTGTGCGTGCGGAGCACCAGCTTCTCGCTGAGGTAGTAGGTGTCGGTGCGGCTGCGGCCCGGGTGGTCCGCGGGGAACCCCAGCACATCGAAGTTCTCGGCCGTCGTCACGACGGGGTTCTCCTCGGTGTAGTTGCCGTACGTCGGCCGCGGGAACTGGCTCTCGATCAGCTGCCGCGTGATGGCCAGCGGGTGGTTCTCGTCCAGGTATAGCCGGCGGCCGACGTGCGAGAGGATGGTATCGGTGACGTTGGTCCATTCGTCGCGCTCGTAGGATTGCGCCTCGGCTGCCAAGGGCTGCGCTGCAGAGCCACCGGCGATGGAGCTCTTAGTGACATCGGTAGGTTTCTCGTTCGTCCGGCGAACGGCCGTGAAGCTCCATTCGCGGCGCGGGTTGGTTGACGGCGCCGGGAGGTGCGAGAGCGGGATCCGTAGGTTCCTCCCCGAAGAATAATTGATGGCCCACCTGCTGCTGCTGCTGGCGCGCAGAGCCCGGCCAGTGGCGAGTAAACGCATCTCTAGAGTAGATGCAACGGGGCTGCACCGGAAACTGAGCCAGTGCGTCGTTGTCGCCTGTTTAGTGTTTCTCTCGCTGCGTTTTAGATCGTAGTGTACAAAACATGCCGGGGCGGGAGAACCACGGCCCGAGCGGATTCCCCAAATTCATCCGGTTGTTCTACGTTGTGCAGGTTGATGATCGGGGTTCAGTGAAACTCAATTGAGTGATCATTATCATGGCTCAATTGGATTTATTGCAAACCATAAAGCAGTCTGAGCATGAAATACGAAGCGGTCGTGTCTGCAATACAACGCGGCCGTGTCATGTCTTCTACAATGATATTATCAGCTACGCATTTCCGAAGAATCAACATGCCTGTCATAACGTCTTTGGTCTATTCAGCCAAAGGACTGTCTATTAGACTTCATAAGTACCCTGCATTGCCTTGACGGCAAGAGGGCGATGCAAAAAGTCATAACATGATCAGATGCCCTGCAGGCATAATCCACACCCGTTTCAATGGGAGTCCCAGCGTGATAATATCACTTTTCCAGAGAAAAGAAGAAACAAAGACACCGACCATTGCGTGTAATATACATAATAGGGAGGAGAGAGTCGAGAAAGAACGCCAATCCAAAAAAAATCAGATCATTGACAAGTGCACCGGGAGAAATATCATGCGACACCAGTCGCAAAGCAAACGGTGTATCATACACATGCGTTCGTAGACAAAAAAAATCGACAATCGCCGGATCATATTTTTCCAGCGGCATGCTCGGTTGGAGAATTCATCGCACTCGACTTAGGGTGAAACATCCCATCGCGGCGGAAAGAGATGTGGTATATTTATACAGGTTGAATGAGGGAGGAGTGATTGAGAATCGCGATGGTCTTCGGAGGATCATGGGGAGGTTTAGTTGTTCTTGACAACACCGACCTTAGCAGCCTGTAGAAGAAAATACATCAGCATCCCTGTTTGAGATAAGTCCTTGCTGGAGATCACATACTCTAAGGACACGGCCGTTCAGACGGAAACCCTTGCTCTGAACAAACATGATCTCGCCGTCCTCTCTGCCCTCGACCTTGGTCATGAAGACGGCCTCGTGGACGTTGGGGTCGAACTTCTGGGCCGCACCATCCTCAGCGGGAGCGCTGGGGTCGAACTGCTCGAGACCGTGCTTCTTCAAGGTGCCCATCAAGACGTTCTGAGTCATCTTCAAGCCTGAAACAAGGTCCAACAGATCCTTGTTGGCCTCGGTGGGGGCGGCCTCAAGCTTCTCCTTGGGAACAGCCAGCATAGCACGGTCGAAGTTATCGATACTTTCGAGAAGGTCCTGAGCGAAGCGCTGGATGGCGAAGTTGCGAGAGTTGTCCATGTCCCGCTTGGTGCGCTCCTGGAGGTTGATGAAGTCGGCCTTGGAACGAAGGTATTGGTCCTGTGAGGTATTAGACCAGGTGATCTCGGCATTTCAAGACTCTCCCGTGTATCGAGATATCCATTGTAACTCATGATATCCGCCCCGGCAAGCATGGATGGCAATTACCTTCAGACCAACAATCTCCTTCTTCTTCTCCTCAAGCTCTTTGCGGCAAGCATCCTCGCCCTCCTGCGACTCAGCGGCACCGTTCTGCTCGCCGTTCTCGGCCTTGTTCTCTGTCGAATAGAGGCGGGCGGCAGACTGGGGGATCAAGGGACGAGCGAACTGAGGAAGCTGGGGCTGTTGCGCGGTGCGGCGGACAGCTGAGGTAGCTGGTGTCGAGCGGACGGAAAGCAGGGACCGCTGGGCCTGTCTGAGGAAGGTTCTTTGGAACATGTTGAGCAAAGGGATATGACAAATAAATGCTTCGGTGGATGGAAAGAATGGAAGCTGAAGCTCAAGCAAGATTGAGGTGGTTAAGTATGAACGAGATCGGCGATAGTGATCGAAAAAGCAGAAGTTTCGCCCGTGCCGGCGTCACCTGACTGTCCTGAGCAGCGATATCCGGATCAACATGCGGGCCGACAATCGGCTCCCATCGGTTAGTTAGTGATCGATCTATAGGAGGGCGCAGAGGGCGCGGAGGTATTCCTCACTACGCTACTTCTACTACCTACTAGGTAGTGAATCTCCTACCTAGCTGGAGGCCATTACCTTTGCCGGCTCAGTACATAATTACATTGTCATACTTTTACAATGCGTCCAATCGTCGTGACCCGGAAAAAGAGACCTCCAGTGACGTAAGGTTTTGGCTTGAAGCATATTTGAATCTGTCGAGGCATACTGCTTCGATTTATTGCCTGCCGAGTATTGCCCGTGGCCACGATGATGCATATGACAATCACTACCTTGATTTAGCGGCAAGCAAGCTATCAGTTAGCCGAGGATTGCCTGAGTTTAATTTAGTTCGAATGGTGTAGATGCAAAGACAAATGGGCGGCGTGAAACTTCAATTCATCAAAAGAGCTGGGTGCTGCTTGTTGTTCGCCCCTCCTCCCCGCCAGCAGCAAGTTATCCCTGACCCGCTGGTACAGTCCCCCGGTATATATTTCCGGGTCGAACCCACCCAAGTAGCTGTCAAAAGGTTTGTCTTTCATTTCTCTGTAGCTGCAATTGTCGTTCCCATATCAAGCGTTCCTCCACAATGCCCTTAGAACTGAACCCCGCATTTGCCGAGGCTGCCGACCCTCTCCTGCAGATATTGGCCGCCAGCCCAAAGCACGAATTGCATGATATCCACGCTCGCCGGATAGGTATCACCGCCCTATATGATTCCGTGTTCGCGACGTTGCCCTATGCTCGGGGTGTAGAACGGACGGTTCATCAAGTCCGGTCCCATGACGGATGGATTATTTCCGTCAAACGCTACTATAAGAAGAACAACTCGTCTCCTACGTCTTCAGGACGTGGCCCAGCAATCTTCCACGTGCATGGAGGCGGTATGATTCAGGGCACGGTTGATCTGTTTAACAAGGCGCTCGCCCTGCATGTCGAGAAGAGCAACATTCCGATCTTCTCGGTAGATTATCGGCTGGCACCCGAGTGTCCGCATCCAACACCACTTGAGGACTGCTATGCTGGGTTAGCGTGGCTCCATCGGCAGGGAGCCCAATTCAGGGTGGACAACAGCCGCATTGGTCTTATGGGGGAGAACGCCGGGGGAGGCCTTGTTGCGGGCATTGCCATGCTGGCTCGGGATCGGGGCTTATCCCCGCCTCTAGCGAAGCAGGCTCTCTTTTACCCTATGTTAGATGACAAGAATACTGTCCCGAATCCTGCGCTGGAGCCTTTCACCACGTGGACTTACGAGGACAATCTCACTGGCTGGACTGCCCTGTTGGGACAAGATATCGGGACGGACAATGTCTCGCCATACGCTGCGCCTGCCCGAGCCCCCAACTTGGAAGGCTTGCCGCCAACGTACATCGACGTAGGCGCGCTGGACATCTTTCGTGACGAAGCTATCGCCTTCGCGGCGAAGATCGCAGCTGCCAATATCGATTTGGAATTGCATGTGTACCCGGGGCTGCCTCATGTTTTCGAGATCTATGCCCCAGACTGTGAACCCTCTCAGAGGGCCGCCGAAAATCGATTCAAGTTCATTACCAGCCTATGATTCGGCATACAGGGACTTCGGTAGCATGTTTTGTCACTGAGAACCGAGTCGCTTGACCAGACCGATCAGAATCGATGGCAATTTGGCGTGTGTTGTGTGTATGATCAGTTGAGCGATGTGGAACTGACTAGAATGGTGTTTGGGTTGGCTGTTGAGAGAGTGCGTCATTCGGAAGAGCGGAGTGGCTGAGCGCCAGATGCAATACAAGATGGTCAGAGCTTCCGGCTAAGCCATGAGGGTGTTTGTACTGGATATCAGTCCAACACGGCTACTGTAGGCAGAACCGAATTGTACGTATGTGCTAGGACAATTGATTGAGGTCACTCGAGCGACTGATGTCAGTTATAGAAGTAAGTGCACCCGAAGGTATAAGCCTTGTGCAGGCGACGCGGGTAGACGCATAGTTTGCGAGGCGAGGCACTGTCATCAGCCCCCATGTTAGTCATAATCTCCAGTGTCACAAAGTGTAGATAAGGTTGGTTAGACTGTAGTTCAGTACGGCCTAAAATGTAGAGGCTCTGTTAATGGTGACATTAGGCGTGACTTGACTGGTGAGGCTTGGAATGCGGCAGCATGCATGCATGCATGAACAATCCCAAGAGCGGGAGACACTCTTTGTCACCACGGAGCCAAGCTCGAAATCTTGCCTGCCTGGAGGACTTGGACACTGCAGAGATATATCGACTGCTTGTGGAGTGGTCCCCGGGGGCGGAGCATCAGCCGCGGCGGATGGCAGGCTGCTTGCTGGTTCTGGAGTATGTGGAGAAGGCGACCATCCGTGGAACGCTCTCTGTCCCCATTCAGATCGCATTGTGATATCTGTAAAGTAGAAACAGGTATAGATTTGATAGTAGAGCTCAGACTGGTCCGACTTATCGTACATTATCGTATCGTTATCCAGTGATATGTTCTCTGCCCGATCTCCGGGTTTGGTTGCAGGATTCAGTCCAGGATTCACCTCCAGGATGATCCATCCGATAGCCAATCCAACAGCTGCGGCTCAATCTACGACCGCTCGGATGATCTGCAGCAAGGAGAACACATATGCAACATCGTCATCACAGCAACTGATGCTCTGATGGGAGGATTCGAAGGTGGCAACCAGAAGCGGTGCAAGTCTCCTCTTCAGCCACACGGGTTCGGCGAGACCGTGGCGAGGATTGAAAATGCATGCAGAACCGATCGCCAGGAACAGATCCAGATCCAGAAGGGCCGTCCGAGAAGAGACAAGTACAGTGACTTAGGTTACTGTAGTTGTGCACATTTCGTGTAGACTAGAGTTTAGAATAGGAGAGTCGCAATCCAAGCAGGCAGTGCAAGTTGCGGGCATCTCCACTCTCCGTTCTTTGCGTGTTGCTGCGCCTCGCCCGGCAAAGCGACGGAGGCGGACGAGGAACTACCCCAACAATTGAAACAATTACTCGCTATAAAAGAAGCGTTCAGCACGCATGCAGGCTCTTCATCCTGACTGGCACAACCACTGGAAAATTCTCTGAAGCTGTCTCCAATCAGAGTTGAACGAGGGAACAAGGTTGCTTAAGAATTACCGTACTCTTTTCTTTGCTCGTTTCCATTACCATTAAGCGCTTGCTGCTCTTTTTCTCCGAGTGGCAACCAACCCGTCTCCGAGGTCTCTATATCAACCACCTCTCCTCCACTCCTTCAACCACCATCACAACCACCATCACAACCACAGAAACCACAAATTCACATTCAAAATGAACTACACCACCCCACCCCAATCCCTAACCTCCTCCCCATCACCATCAACCACAACAACAACAAAACCAACCACCCGACCAACGCTCTCCCTGGACCTCAGCAACCTCCCCGCCCTAAGCCAACCAACAACCCCAACCAACACCCTGATCATCACCGACCTGAACGACCTCCACCTCTTCGACCCCCCATCCCTAACCGCCCTCCGCAACACCCTGAACAACCTCGCCCCGCTCAACTCCTTCTCCCCGCTCCCCTCCCTCCGCCGCCTCCTCTGCTCCTTCCACACCGACAGCGACGCCCTCTACATCCGCAAACTGCTGTCATCAGCCTCACCCACCGAGAACCCCCTGAAAGCCCACATAGCCACCCACTCCGTCCGGACGCTCCTCAACCCGAAGGTCTATTTCGGCGAACCCACGCCGCTCCAAACGGGCCACGACGCCCGCCCCAAACTCCTCGCCGCCCCGCAGGTCGACAAGCTCTTCTTCATCAGCCCGCCGCCCTCCCCGCCCCACGGCTGGGTCATGCGCCACGAGGATCCCCCCAATAAGGAAGTCCACGCCAGCGATCTCGCCCAGGCGCTGGCCAAACTCAACACGGAGATGACCTTCGGGGAAACCACCACCTCCACAGCAGCGCCGGAAACCCCGGTGTCCGCTATTTCGGACAAGCTGCCGCGCACCGGGAGCTGGCCCGCGACCATCACCGCGACCACCACCCGCCGCAGCCGCAGTAGTACCCTGATCTACCACCCCGAAGACCACGGGGGCAGTCCCGGCTTGCCCGCTGTCATGGTCGAGGATACGAGTGAGATCGAATTAATGGTGGATGATTTGGATGGGGATGAGGATGTCGAGATGATGAGCTATAGTCCCGTCGAGGATGAGACGGTGGGCATGTCCGTCAAGCGCATGCCGCCGAAGACGGCGCGGCCGCCGGTCGAGTTGATGTGAATTTTCTTCTTTTGGCGCTTGCATCCGTCGCTGCGATTATTTCTTTTGGGATCCATTTTTTTTGGTTGTGATGAGAGAGAGGGAGAGAGGTACAGGTTGCTTGGATATATTCGCTCATCATGAACGGTGTTGGGGATGGGAATTTGGCGTTGACACAAACTTGGTAACTGCTTTTCACGGGATTGGGCATGATGGCGTAACACATACGCATTGTACATAACATACTACTTGCATTGGGGTTGCGAACACTTTTTGGTATTATCTGGGGCTTGTTTATTTATTTTCATAGTTCGTCTAATATCTCCCCCAGAATGGTGTTAATATCATCTTATCTATCTCGAGTATTTGCTTTCTGTCTATAGCCATCTATTATGCTCTTACACATTTTTAGCCGCACAATTTGAACACTCAAGAAAGCTACGCCTGATAGCGGACCCAGTGGTTGGTTGGATATCTGTTCATTTGAATCTGTATGTGATGTGGTGTTCTTAATAAATATGTGTTTAATAGAGTCAGAGAGACAAGACACGAAAAGAAAGCAAAGCAACAAAACACCCCCGTTGCACGCCCTGACCATGGAAGAAACTTCTTTTGATAGCATGAAATGGGAAAGAGATAATAAGCAATAAAATGAAAATAGAAATTCCCCGAGGTGAGCAGAAATACCTGTGATGAACTCCGTCCGCATGCTGGAATAGTATCAGAAAAGGTTGGTGAGGATATGATGTTGGTAGTTGGTGTTCTTTGAGCTGGGTTGAGACCAGATGTAGTTGAGTCCAGCTTGTTGGTCTAGGAGGAAAGGTAGTGATGACGATGAATTGGCTGGAGTGAAGGAGAGTCAAAGTCAGTCCCTGTGACCGAAGACAACCCTGCTGGGTAGACGTCGCTGCTCCCGGGCAAGTGACCCAAACTGACAGCAGAGCAATACCGCCCTTTCATCTCACATCATCCCCATTCCACCTAGAACCCATAGCCACCGCCATAGGGCGTGACGCCGTACGGCGTGGCAGCACTGGCTCCCCACGCACTGGCACCGCCACTGGCATAGGCTGTGAACCCGCCATCGATGCCCTCCGGCGGCTCGTAGGCATCCGGGCTGCGCATCATATCGTCGTCCTCACCACCCATCATGCCGGTACGGTCCGCACCACCGTCACCCGAGCCAGACAGCGACGAGATGACCGAGGCCAACTTGCGCTGCAGCACAATGATACTCTGCTGAATGATCATGTCCGGGTCAATCATACCGATACTCTCGACATCGATGTAAAAATTGCTCGGCTGAGCGTCGTAATCGAAGGGCTGATCCGGAGGGTTGGCGTGTTCCCATGCCGAGTTCTGAGAAATAGGCCTGTCCGACAACGGCAAAAGTAGAATGGTTAGCCAAGATCTTCTTCCTTCTTACCATCTCTTTTTCATCAGAGATTCTTTTATTCATCGTCCTTCTTCGAGACGATTACCCCAGCAGGAAGGGACAGGGAAAACATACCACTCCTTCGCCGCATCCTCCTCATACCAGTAATCCACATGCCGCAGGTTATTATGCGGATCGTACTCGAAGCCCACCGCGGCCGTCGGCGCCCACTTGGCATGCTCCTTGGCGATCCCCTTCTTCGCGATGCACGTCATCTTCAGCTCCTGGCCGCGCCGCAGTTTACAGATCAGGGGGCCCTTGCCCTCGGGGTCCGTGATCACCGGGTTGCCCACCCACTCGTTGGCCCGCTCGCCGCTGACGGCCAGGTCCCGCGCGTAGACGCGCATGATCTCGTCGCTCGTGCAGCGCGCGTGCAGGGTCAGCGTCACGCTGCAGCGGGAGCAGCGGTCATCGCACTCGCAGTCGCGCGTGTACTCGACGTCCTGGTCGCAGTTCTTGGAGTTGAGCGGGATCAGACCCAGGCGATGGGCCAGGAACTCGTCCGGAAGGACGGACGTGTTCTTCTCGACTTCCACCAGGTCAATCGCCATCGTGGGAATCTCGGCGAGCATGGTGCGGCGGATCGAGTTGGCGAAGGCTAGGTCGACGGAGCTGAGTTTGAAGTCCACGCGATAGGGCTCGGCCTGTGGTGTGATGGTCAGTTATCGGTGGGGGGGGGGGGGTGGTGAAGAGGGTTGGTAGGTGAGCTTCTTTGGGGGGATGGTGTGTTGCTTTGTGATGTGCGGTGATAGTGATATTGATGAATGGCGACTGGAAGTTGCTCACCTCGCGGACGGTCACTTGGGGCCCGGTGGGCTCGATGTCCATTTCGTATTCCATGGTGATGATTGTATGTCTGTTGGCGATGAGGCCCAGAGTGATGGCCACACGCGCCGGAAGAGTTATGGTTCAGTGGGGAGGAAGTTGATCTGGAGATGGTGCCGCGATGAGGCAATCAATTCGAGAGAGACTTGGGAGAACTGAAAGGCGGAAGCTGAGATGCGCTTGACCCGATCGGGTAATCCTCCCCTGCAGAGGCCCCCGAGATGTGTGGATGATGGGATGGCACGTGAAGGCACCCTGGTTATCTAGCTATAAGATACTTTACTCAATTACACTAATTTATGTTTAGTCTCCGTTTATGAGCTGTTTCAGTGGTCATCTGAATCAATTCTGAGGTGGTAGTGACCCTCCATGCAACACCACGTTGCATCATTAGTTATTTCCAAAGACTTCTATAGATACACACTCAAGACGAAAAGTCAAACAGCTATTATTGTATGTGAGCCCCTGCTGGGCGGACTTTATAGATGTGAAGTGCCCTGAGCGCACAGGTCTCAATCACGAGCAAGATGATATTGGTATCCAAAAGAGAAAGCCAACTCCAAGCAATGGATCCCATCCCAGACCATGTCTCGATGACAGTAACATTTTGCCCCATCCGTCAGCAACACGGCCGAACTCCTCTAACAATCTATACTCGCGCTTGCTCGTGAAATCTATAAGGGTGTGAAAACAATAGCAAGGACGGATCGGATGGACAAGATAGGCCATATTCGCGCATCTCAGAAAATGATGTTCGCAAGTCATGCGCAGAAGCCACCAGCTGTCATCCGATTGAGTCCAGAGAGAGAGAAAAAAAAGGAAATAAAAGAGGAGATTATAAAAACCCAAAAGCATTACAGCCAACCGGGGGTAGGAAGTTCCAAGCCAATCAATGCAAGTAAAAAAGAAAACAGCTTTTCCTTGGCTAGATCATTTCAGGTCGTCATGGAAGCTTTAAGCTTCTTTGCGGAAAACAAAAAGCCATCGCTACCGCCGCATGGAGCTGCGATTGAGCGCTTCCAGAAGCTCGGGTCTGCTGGCCAGAGCATCGGCAGCCTGCTTGTAGGTAACCCATTGTCGTTTTCGCTTGTGCATCTCGGGCCACTGCTCCTCTTCGCGGTCCACGGTCACCTCGAAGAACTGGTAGGACGCCTTGGGTGCTGTGCTTGACAATAAAGACGAGGAGCGCATGTCGGGTATTTGCCCCAAGTCCTTATGCACCGTACATATTACTCCGGCCTCTTCCCAGGCCTCTCTGCAGGCGGCTTGTTGAGGGCTGTTCTCGTCTGTCTCCCAGCCGCCCTTGGGAAGGACCCAGCCGCCGCGCCCTGCGGACTGGATCATCAAGACCAAAGTCTTGTCCGCGGACAACGGCACGACACCGGCCACGAGCCGTTCGCCTTTCGGACCGTACCCTGGAAACACAGACAACATTAGCCAAGTTGCGCGAAAGCACAGGTGACAAAAGCGCGGAGAAATGTATGCATATGCAGAAGAAAGAGTATCAAGAAATAATTTCAAAAGGGCCGACGTGCCTCCAGGGTTGACTACTCACGTTGGTTTTTGCGTCCGACGCGGGACTCCATTGAACGAGGTTGTTCCGTCATGATGGACCAACTGTAACTATAGGATGGAAAGAAAGATGAGGGACTTCTAGACCACTCCACACAAGAAGTCTATATAGTGGAGAGAGGGGGTGGGCGACTGTAGTAGGTCGTTCTTGGGCTTCACGCGACACTCGTGTCAAAGAAGGAAGAGGTTCGATGCGACGGGGGAGAGAGACAACGACCAATGACACTGACTTGGGACGACCTGTCAGTGCTGGAAGTGACGCAGGATACTTCGAACAGCGGAAGTAACAAAAAAGAGGTCCAGCCTGGTGTACGAGAGCTGGCGAACAACCTTTCGGTCGAGTTTCTTTTCCTTAACGCGAAGAAGCGGAAAAAGCGAAGCGGATCGAAGGGACAGGCGGGATTTTTTTCTTGCGAAGGCAAAGAAGAAAAAAAAAGAGCTTACAAGAGTGAATCAGAAAAATCAGGTATCCCCGTTCACTCCCGCAACGGACGGGAACGTCGAAGAGGATGAGTGAAGACAAAAGCACATCATAATCGGAGGGACAGCGAAGAAATAAGGAAAGGCGGATTTAGGAGGGAAAGTGGACGGAACGGAGGGAACGGAGGCAGAGGGGGGGGAGGGGGGGGGGCGTGGACGGAGGGGAGGGGAGGCAACAGAGAGAGAGAGAGACAGACCAAAGACAGACAGACAGTACTGTCAGTTGGCCAGCTTTGGGGGGGGAAGAATTGTGGGCGGCGCACCCCGGGGCAGGCACTGGAGAGACATTCATTACCTTAATTGTTATTGTGGAAAGACCGGTAAAACCGGTGATTGTCTTCGCCCCGGAGCGGACTCTGTTTGGCTTGCTGGGTGGGCGGTACCGATTGAATACAGACGGCCGAAGCACAAAGGTGCGGTGAATACAGTATATTCAGTATTACTGAAACGTTACGGATGGTTCTGGTCCGGTTGTCGGTCTGGAAGGCCCAGGTACGGTTCGTTAAATTGGATTGCGACAAACCTAACTAACTTACAGCCTACTACGAGTAACTAGTAGTTAACTCGTAGGTTCGTAGGTACAGTAACTAATTCTATGTTGCCTCCACAATATCCGAGCCCTCGTTCGGGGTTTTGTTTGACTGTGGCCAGGTCCCAGGTCCATATGTCATGTACGCCCCTTTCCTCTCCATGTCTCATGTATATGAACTAGACTTGACATTGGCTTTGATTTCTGGCTTTTTCTTTCTTTTTCCTTTTTGGCTCTGGAGAGGGTTAGTCGATACTTGCCGTTATGCATGAAAGCTTGTGGAGTATAGTTCGAAGTCAAGAATGGGGGGCATTGTTGGTTCTCCTTTCCAGCCCACTGCACAAGACCTACCTTATTATGAGGGTGGGTGATTATGGTTGGGGATCGGTCTTTGCAACCCTGACCGCAATTAGACCTAGTTCGTCCTTTTGTATCATGAACCTACTACTATTCGAATTCCTACCGCTGCGCTAAAGTAAGACTTGGCTTCCACAGTTGCCAAACCAGTGATCTTCCTGAGTTAGACAATCTACTTCGAATTATTATGGATGATTATTCCTAGTCCCGAGCTGAACGACTCCGAGACTCTTTCTCAGGGTTCCACAGCAACCTGGTAACCCAAGGGACGCGAAGACGAACCATGAAATTCCAGACGCGAACACACGCGCGCCGTCGCACACTGATTCATTATTAATAGATTGTATACCCGCTTCTTTCTCTTCTCGATCAGAGTGTGTTGTGGTCGGATGAAGAGGGAGGATTTACTAGAGTAGAAACCTTCCTCACTCTTTTTGCACTGTAACTGTTGTATCAGATTTTGCCCGTTAAGGGCACCACTCAGGGAAGGTCCGAAATCGACCTCGAAATTGCAAACCAGAGTCTATTAATTCTATTGATTGGCATTTGGCCGAAATTAAGTTGACTACTTCTGAATAAGAAGAGAGAAACTGCAGGGCGACCAATTTCCATAGTTTAAATTTAGATGATCTCATGCCCGCACATCAGTCAGTAGTTTTCCCGGTGGCTCATTGTGCGTCATGTTCCGTTGAATGGGTTTAACAAAAGTGAGTCCCGTCATTTCGGCACCTGTCTCGCCTATCGTCCAGTCGTTCCCTCGTGGGTTCCCCCCAAAATAGTATAAGGAGGAATTGATAGGATGGATGGAGATACGACAGATCACCGATCACAGTGAGGGCAGACTTTCAGAGGGCTCCAAACTCCCAGGGAAAAATCGGATTTCGGTCCACCTTACTTACTTTGCTTCCCACATCGGGCCCTTCCGTTGAACGGACCAGAGACTGTTTCGCTTCAAGTACGGAGTACATGTCTACTAACTTACTGATTTGTCGTCATAAACTCCCATCGGCGGAAAAAAGAAAGGAACGTGTTCCCTTTCGAATTTCCTTCAAGTGATATCCTTCGATCAACGTGCACGGACGACCTGAGCTGTCTCCCCAGTAAATAACGCTCTTACCCTGCAGCAGCAACAGCATTTCAACGGTTTTTGGAATTGATCCAATGATCGTCGCTCAAATTGGATATGGTACCTGCTACGTGTTTGCAAATTGCAACTTAGCTTAGCTTATCTTCAAAGCTGTTGTGTGTCCTTCAAGAGCTGCATGGGGGAGCCGGGGGGGCCTCAATGAAGCGGTGATTGTTTGTCTACGTTTTCTTTTCTTCTCTTTCTTCTTGACTATTGCTTTCACGCTCCTGCATACAAGCTTTAGATTGGATACCATGAGACGCAGCAGCATACACACCCTGCATGGTACATTAGGTTCCATCGATCCTGGCTGGTTTATTGGAAGGTGTCACTGGCAGTTCCAGCAAATTAAAGGCGAACAAAAGGATAGAGAAAAAGAGTTGCTTGAGGGGAGGATGCGGGGCAACTCGAGAGCACTGACTCGGCCGGTTACGACTTCCATCTGCATTGGTTGCATGGAGGGGATTTTTCAAGCTGTACTCCGTACTTTCATATAGAATTTTTTTCTTTTTCTTTCATTGTTTTGGGCTATCACTATGGTTGATAATGGTCATCTAGAACTCACATCAAAAAAGAAAGAGAGGTTGGTGCTGGTGCTGGTGCTGTGTTGAGGAGGAAGGAGTTGCGATCATGCCCTAAAGAAGTGGACAAGTGATGTACCGTACCTGTTCGCTGCACCACAACCATGAATGTTCAAACCATGGAGTCGATCCAAGCGCTCTGTTGCTCGGACAATGTGGAATGCGGTGAAATGGCCACTACTTGAGGCAGCCCTGCACATCGATCCTAGGGAGAAGTGGCTTCGGACATCATAGACGGTGGCGATTGGACCTGGAGGGCGACAACGCAGCAGCGATCTGTGGGAAAGATGCGGATCCCTTGAGCAGTTGAGATCCTGTCGTTGATGCCGATGATGCTTGGACGTTGGGGGGAATGGAGAAGCAGGAAGATACCTGCACGTGATTCATGATCTGGGGATGCGCGAAAGAAGATTACTTACTGAGGTGTACCTTGATTTCCGAACGGCATCACATCACGATCAATTTGAGTGGCGGGCACCCATTATACGACAGTACATATGTACATTCCATTTGCTTCCAGCTTCCCTTCCGAAGCCGCTCTTGCTCTACCGTGAAGAAGGGGGAAGGGCACTTGGCCAACTTCTACTTCCATCGACAAATTACCGTATGGTAAGGGAGATGCTCATACGGCGACTAACAATACCCGTATCTGAATGCATCGCCAGCTGCCAGCTGCCAGGTTCGACCTCCTTCCCTCACCAGCTGGTGCAAGACCATTACTCAGGAGGTACAGTACTCCGCAGTACCAGCGGATCTCTGTGCAGAGTGAGTATTCGAATGGAAAAGCTAGAAATGGGCTGTGTTGACCCTGTAGCAAGCATCATCATCATCTCCCGGATTACTTGCACCTCCTTCGTCAGTGGCAACAACAAGCAGGGCACACCAACAGAACAAGGACAAAAGTACGGGGTAAGAGAGTAGATCGCGGCCTCACTGCAGTAGGCACACTTGCTTTCGGCTTGCTGGGATGATCAGTCGGTCCTTACAGGAGGTTCTGACATGGGTTCCGATCCCTCCATGCAGACCAGCTGGGTTGCTCTTTTCTAGAAGCATCGCGAAGTTGGGTTTGGTTGGCCGACGGGACAATAACACTGTAAGTAGCTGGGACCAAGCGGGCGGGAATAGGATGGTGGGCTGATGGGTATGAGATGAGTTGGGATGGGTTGTGTTGGTAGTAGCAGGTAACTAAGTTGAAGTACGTATAGTTAGTAAGTTGTATGGATGGGTGGATGGATGGATGGATGGGCCTGCCGAATTGGCCAGCTTCAACCATTCCGTCCCGCATCATCTTCTCCCCATTTCCATCCTTCAAGATCACAACAATCTCAGGCCCCTCAGGCCACCACATCGCAGCCACCAGAATACTTACTCCGGAGTACTCTAGTTTGTCATCGTTGTCATTGACAGGAGATATTCTAGTGATTCTATCCGGGTCTTACCCCTCTTCCGACTCATTCTGCAGTTGCCTGCCTCGTGATTTCGTTGCTCCGTCGCAGACTGCGAACTCCGCTTGGTGCTTGACATACACACCAACCACCACCATCACCAGCCACAACAACCAAAAAAAAAAGCCATGGTCTCGATTGTTGACGCCGAGCAGGCAAGAAAATTGTCGCTTTTCCGGCCTCTAGGTAAGCAACCAGTCATCATAGCGTCTTCAGCCCCGTGCGATCAGTATCCGCCCCAGTTGGTTCCCTTTTCTCTCCCCCAATCGGTGCCCCTCAATGCGCCGGCATAGCATTTGCTGCCCCTCATCTTGATCTATACGGCCTTCGCTTCCCCATAATACGACCTGAATAACACCGCTGCCAACCCACCTTTGCCGAACTTCGTCTCCTGTTTCCGTTGCCTCCAGTGAAAACATCACCAAATCACATTCTTTGTTATTTATCGTCTTCAATTGTCGCCATGTAGACCGCCCCACCGGTTGCTCTTGCCGCTGACTTCGACCTTCAGGCTACC